GCTGCCAGAGAAAGCTGAGAGAATAAGGGCTGTGTACCAAAAGGTTGATGAACTCCCTCTTTCTAATTACAACACATTAGAGCGGCTCATCTTTCACCTTGTCAGGTAGGAAGATTTTTTATTTTTATTTGTGTGAATATGTTTGTGAGACAAATCCAGAGAGATCTTGACCTGTGTGTCTTTTTAGGGTTGCAAAGGAAGAAGAGCACAATAAGATGTCACCAAGCTCTCTTGCTATTGTGTTTGCCCCCTGCATTCTGCGCTCTCCTGATGCTAATGACCCCTTCCTTGGTATGAAGGATGTGTCCAAGACTACACTGTGAGTAATCGTATTGCACATTAATGTAACTCTCCACAGCCACAGTCACAGAAGTTGTATTTTCTTATTTTTCATTTGGAGGGGCATTCATATTTGACTCTGTTGTCTGCAGGTGCGTGGAGATCCTGATCTCTGAGCAGTTCAGACGCTACAAAGAGAAGATGCAGAATATCCAGGAGCTGGAATACGCAGAGGCCCTGGCTGTCAATCAGCTCAAACTGAGGAGGCAAAACACGGTGAGAGGACATTACAAGGCCAGTTTTTATGCCTCCGCGCTGACTACAGCCAGGCCTGTAGGCATTATGTTTTCAGGTTGTCCGTACATCCATCCGTCCAGCTGTCCCATTCTTGTGAACACAATAACCCCATGAGGAAATTTCTTCAAATTTGGTGCAAACATTCACTTGGACTCAAAGATTAACTGATTAGAATTTGGTGGTCAAAGGTCAAGGTCACTGTAACCTCACAGAACACGTTTTCTGCAGGTAGCAAGTAGAAAGTAGCCCACTTTTGGAATAAAATTCATGTGTTTTGGAGTCAGCGTTTTCATTTAGCAGCTTACACCCAGCCTATATTACTGATCTGTGTGCAGATTGTTGAAAAGCCTTCAGATGTTCCAGAGGAAACACACACTGATGAAACAGAGAAGACGCTCATCGAAAGGATCAAGTCCATCAAGCAAGAAAAGTGAGATGATATTTTTTTCATTAGCATTAAATGCACTTTACCCAGTGTGTTTAAAAGGAAATGAGCTTGAATAATAATATCTTGTATTGTTAATTCCAGGGTGGACTTGGCCTGCAGATTACCTGACCTGGAGCAGGAACATTCTGACAACGACAACCTGGACTCGTCATCGTCGATGAGCACAGAGAGTTTAGAAGACCGCCTGAGGAGCCTGGAATCGGAAGGTCAGTAGGGAGGTAAGGTATTTTCACCTTCCTCTGGGTTTAAGAAAACAACTCTTCATAAACGTCATTATATTGTTTTTGTTTTATGTCTATAATACGTATGTCACTATAGTACACAGTATATCAGACATTATATCATCATGAAAGTAGCTTCTGCCTCTTTGTCTGCAGACAGAAGATCTACACCAATGAATGACAGAAACAAGGAAAAATTGTACAACATGTTGTCCAACCACATCTAATGGCAAAAGTGTTAATACCTGCTCATAATGGCCACACTGAAAAGGTTGGGAAAATGCGAGCCATCCTGCAGAGCTCTTATGCCGCTCATGTGTCCTTGTAGTGTCAGAACAATTAATCATACAAGTAAAGATAAAGGCTCACACGTTCTTCTTGAAAACATTCACTGTGATGCACTCAGTTATATGAACTAAAATGACATGACAAGTGGGCATGACTGTGAGGATTTGTCTTCTTCTCAAGATCTCATTTTTCATTCTTCAGTTATGACACAAACCAGTGAAACACTGTGAAACTTTCCCAGGAAGTATTTTCCAGAAGTGTGCTCCATTATCCCCATATCTGAAACAACGATTGCCTCTTGTAACTCTCTATGACAGCCAGCTTTTTGTTCCACCAAGCATGGCCATAAAGAACAACCATAAATATTTTTGCCACCAGATGAGGTTGGACACATTTCAAAAATCCAAAAGCACTTTTGTTTGAAGCATACTGAGGCCCCTAGAAAGTTGTCACAAGAGAGTACATGTTCAGCCACTCCATATTCTCTTAAACCCTATGTGCTCCCTTTGGAATAACTGGCCCCATTCATAGTTCCTTTTTATTTTCTGTTTCCATAATTAAGCAATGTGGTCAAACCAGCGCAGGAACTTGTGGTTCACAAAGTCCATGTACTATAAAGCTCATAGCTACATTAAAAGCTACAACAACACAACCACTCACTACATCCGCCCACGCTCTCACCACCATTTGATACAGTTATCCTAGTCCACCAGTAAACTTCAGCATGTTCACAGCTCACAGTTGCTGCTTGCTCTTGTTGTATTGATATATATATCAATATATACTCTGCTCTCATTACACGACTATCTACATATGTACATATACACAGAATCCAGGGATCATTCTTTCCATCATGCTGCTACATGCATATATTTTTCTATGTTTTTGGACATTTTGTGCTTTATATTAAAATTGCACCTTATTGATATTATTATTTATATTTTATTATTATTATCTTATTATTATCTTTTTAATTTATTGTGTTAAAGCTGGGGTAGACAGAAATCTGGAAAAAAAAAAGGCAGAATTTGAAAATGCAGGCACCCTCCTGCATCTTCCCCCTCATGGACATATGCACGTTCATACATGCAAGCAACACAAGTAACACAGCCGCAGTAATGAGCCTTTGGCTACGGTTAGCAGAAAGCTAAACTATTAGCAACATTCAACATAGCCACTCATCGCCTGCTTTCATGGTAAACCTACCTACACAACCAACCACTACAACACATGCAGATATTATAGGGAAATGAAGTTAGCAGCAAGTTCTCGCTGTCTCTGATACCTTTCACTGATATTGGCATGTATCCATCTCGAGGGATGTGCACTCGTATCTGCATTCGTGGAACAGCCGATAGGAATGCTCTCTCTCTCTGAAAAGATCTGTGCTTGGCCAGTCTCCTTTCACAGGTTAGATTTTTTTAAAGCCTGAAATCAGATCCAGGAGGAGGTGCAGGGGTCTAGTTTGCTCTCAGATCACTTGAATTTCAATATGCTGAAAGTTGATGATGGAATTTTTTGACTATTGATGCCAAAAAATGACAGCCTAGCCCAGCAAATTCACTCATTGTCACTGGTGTAATTGTGATTGTAAACTTGATTTGATTTCACCAGATAATGTTGACTAATCTGATGTTTCAACTGCCAGGAAAGGTGACCATGCGATTGAAAACCCAGAAACCTGACTGCCCGCATAAACCTCCTGACCTGGCGCAGAGAGTCAGAAGTGTGATGGCTCAGGCAGATGATGAACAGACGGGGTTCACATCAGGACAGAAGACAGATGTTACTCAATTCATGTGCTTCCTGCCCAGCCAAGACAACCCCTCCCCAACCGACAAGCCCCAGGTCACCTCCAAGACTTTTAACGGGAGCTTTGATGACCTGGACATCCCTTTCATTGATGAGGATGAGGATCTAACTTGAGCATAACACCACAAGTTGTAATAATTTGACCAAAATCCCCAAGTATGTGTTAATAGAAGACATGTTATTGCAAAAAGAACTGAGCACTTTGTTTTACAGACTTTTCCGTTTGTCAGTGCTGCTATGGAAACAAAGTGATGTGAGAATTTATATGTATTTAACAGGGAAATCATATAGACTATTCCTTTAGGGTTTTTATGACAGATCTGAAGAAAAACCATCAGCAATGACAACGCACACTATATCACTGTCTATCACTGTATGTGATTTTATGAAATTTTAGAAAAGGTAGGTATTTTGGACCATATCTGTGAAGCTTTGTCTTATATTTAGAGAAAAATAGGGCAACATGATAAGGAGCAATTTAGGATACCTCCTTTAATGGACCATATTCTGAGGTTGACCACTATGGTACTAATGGGAGTTAATGTGGTTTGTGGTAAAAATAAATAAATAATAAATAAATCTTTTAAGTGTGCCAAAAAAGTTCTGACATTGTACATAGAGTGATTCTCCATTGTACATAATGTGACTTTGCATTTGGGGCTTTCACTGAGTGCATTGTTGTACATGAGAAACTGTTTAGCTGTGTTTTTCGGCTTGTCCTTACACTGACTGCTGTGACTGACTCAGTGTACCTGTCATGATGCTGCCTGTTAGACTGACTGAAAATATTTCCCTCACTTTTCTTGTTTTTGCAAGGCTGTGCAGTTTCACCAAGTTAATGCTTTGTTCATGCATGTAGGTTTTTTTTTTTTTTACATGCATGCCTATATATTTTATAAGGGTTAGGAATTATGTATATTGTGGTGGACATCCTCTGATTTTGACCTTTTGTCACCAACTGAAATAAACTGACCATTTTCAAGTGTCTCTAGCTTTAATACTACTGCTAATAATAATAATGATAATGATAACACGCAATGTCTACACTACATAAATATAAAGTGAATTGAATATTAAAGATCTGTTTTTTTTTTGAAAATATACAAAATAATTTTAAAATATTTTACTTTTGGACCATGATTTCTGTCTTTTGTGTCCTTTCCATGTTTGATATTAAAGCACTTTACAAAATTTACTAAAACAACAGAATATTTGGAATTAATGCTGTAACGACTTGCAAATTGCAGCCTCCAAAATTATCTTAAAGTGAAATCATCACCTCTTTAACACAGTTTCTAGAAAAACTTAACATTATAACTTTCATGAAGATAGGATTTATTGCATGCCTGTTGTGTCAGACAATATATATTATAACTGAACTGCTTTAATTATGTTCATGGAAATATCTGAACATCTTGTACACTACTCTCCGTATGAGGCATTTCCTCTTTGTTACCCGCGGTGTGACGTTTACAATTCACCATTTGAGGATCAATAGGAGCAACGTTTTTTTCTAAACCAATCAGACACGTAGTTTGGGTTTGCGCTTCCATCAAACAGCCAATTGCTGAGCGGTGTAGCACGGCAGGGGCGGGTTTGTATCAGGTTGAGGAAGTGGGGTTGAAGTGAGGTGGGGATGAGAAATCATCATTTAGTTAGCTCGCTGTTAGCTACTGCCTGGAGCTGACTGTCGAGGTGTTATCAGCTTAGTAGCCGATATCAGTATATATTTTTCTTTTAACAGGCGCAATGATGACCCTCTGACACCAAGAATGGACATAAGTTAACAATGACGGGGGAGAAAAAGAAGAAAAAGCGGCTGAACCGCAGCATTCTTCTTGCAAAGAAAATTATAATAAAAGATGGAGGAAGTGTGAGTTAAATATTTATTTATCTTCGTTAACTTAGCTTGCCACTGAGCTACACTGGCTATCGGCCGCTGAAGTTGATCACTAGCCTTGTTTATTTCATAAAAAGCAGCAGTATGCGGCGGCTTTTGGTGGTTCGTTCCCGGCAGGTAGTGTTAACTGTAAGCTGGGACCGCCTAGCTAAGTGGCTACAACAGCTAGCCGTGAACTAGCATCAGCTAATGTTAGCGGCCTGCGTGAGCCGGCCGTTTACACGTCAGCTTGGCTAACCGTTAGCTGTGTTTTTCTTTACCGACCGTCTTTCCACAGTAATCCAGACACCATGAATATTAGTTTATTTAACTCTAACAAGCAGTTAATGTTAACGGCACCTCACGTTTGTTCAAATCTTGTTAATAATACGTGTGACAGAGCAGCACACACAGGCACAAACGGAGGCTAGGTTAACATTAGCTCACTAGCATATGTGTCTAACGGTGATTGGGGTTGTTTTTTACCCTGTTGCAACAGACAATGTTTCAGATTAGTTTTGTACTACTAATTTTATGAGAGACAATGTGAGGTGATTTCTCGGAGAATGCAATAGATCCCTCGTCGATAATGTGATTAGAAAGAGTACTTTATTTGGGAAATTGCAGTGTGGCAACAGCCAGTTCACATAACTCACAAAAACAATGAGGTTGGCAACAAACAATGCAGTTAAAGGCTGAATTATATACAATGACTAAATGGAATATAAAAATAAATATCAAAAATAGAGACTAAAGATCTGATAGCTACACTTTGTGCTGAATATTCACCGTACAATGTTGGTAATATAATTAAATACATTGGACATTAATGTAAGCAAGGTAGATACATATATAGAAGGAGAGAGAGATGCACAATCCTTGAAAGATCCGATTAATCTCATTTATATAAGATGTAGTATATGATGTGATATATAAAGGGGAGAAGGTAAAGCATTTAACTAAACATTGAGGTAGGTTGAGAATAAGCAAACAAGTTTAAGTTAACATCCCAGGCAAGTAAAGCCAGCATCAGCTGTGCCCTGTAGTGTAGACTGTAACTGCTGTATATGCTGGCTCTTCAGAATATGATGGTGTTGATGTTTGGTTAAACATCAGCCAAAGCCTGTTGTTTCTGGTAAATTTATACACCTTCTCTGGTTCATTGACACCTGTAGCACAGCTATGATGAAACCATCCTACAATGCGATTAAAATGCCATTAAATGCAAGCTTCAAACTTCCTTATTAAACAGAGAACTACATATCATATCAGGAACTGTAGTCACTTGGATCATTTAGATGGTGGACATGATGATTATCCCAAATTGGGCTGTTGGCAAAGAGTGAGTATGGTAGGTTTGTTATAAATACAGTGAGGCGGCAGTGCTGCTTATGTAATCAGTTGGGCAGCTATGCCAAACATGTTGGATATCCATATGAAGGCACACAGATTTGTCATCATAATGAATAGAACAAGAAACTGTTGTTTTCACACAGTAATGGTCCTCTCAGCCTGATGACAGCCTTGCATCTACACCTGGCTCTATTCCAATGAGGTCCTTGGTTCAGGTTATTGTTTTTGCTTTACTGGTTTACTGCAGCTAGGGTCTGACCACTCAGCCATTAAGATTCCACTTTCAACATCTAGCCATTGCATCTAATAGGCTTACACACAGTAGTCAAAAGCAAAATATGATTTCTAAATATGTAGGTGGGCGTAATTTCAAGAGAGGAAGTTGCAACATTGATACAATGAGACAGTTACAGATTGTTCCTCATTGTTTCCAGAAAGCAGATTATGTGACCATACACTTATCTTGGAACAAAAGTCTTTGAGTTCATCTGATTTACACCATAAGCAGTCATACCCAGTCCTGTAGACCTTTTTCTGGGATGCTTTCACTTTCTCCACAAAGAGGAAATGACAAACCACATTTGCAGGTAAAGAACCAACTAGTCTCTTAGTGAAATCAGCCCTGGCCTTTTTTACAGTCTCCACGATTCATACCTCACTGTGTTTCCTGCCAAAGATCCTGCTCAGCATCTATGCTCACTCCATCACACTTTCTCTTCACCTCTCAGACTTGTATAGATTTTACAATGGAGCAGTGAGGTGACTTCCTCTACCAGGAGCTGGTTGTAGGAAAGATAAAAATGATGTCTATTTGTGTTTTACTCATTACAGATATAGGTCTGTATTTAGAGTGACCTAGTAAAGTATAGCACAGAATATTCTGCTATTTTACCTGTTAGATTAAACTATGATTTTAAAGAAGAAAACCTTAACGTGTTTTGTGAGTATTAAATGTTATTATAATATACTTACATTACTCTGCATAAATTAATGTCTTAGTGAAATGAATCGTCTTTTGCTTTATATTCTGGTCATTTACTTGCACTCAAGACAATTTATTTGTAATCAGAGTAAGGCAATATAGCAGATAATGCAGATGTCATGTAAACAGCTTAATCATGTTGTCTCCCTCATATTAATGTTGTAATTAGAGTAAAGTATAACTGGATTAATGGAGCCATGGTGCTTGCATTGCTTTCAAATTACTCTTGTCATGTATGCAGCTTAATCGCTTTTTGTTTTTGCTGTTTCGATTTTAACACACCACAAATCTCATGTTCTGGAGAAGACACATAATAGTGTGTTGGAGAAAGAATCATAATTAGCAGAGTGGCTTGTGGCTGTTTTTTTTTTTTTTTTTAAAGAAAAAAAAGAGAAAAAAAAGAAGTGCTTCCTTTTGGCAGCAGAGATGCTGCTTTCTTGTTAGAACTGATGGCAACAGGTAAAGTTTGAGATAAGATTCTACACCATCAGGGTATATATCAAGCTGCACTAGCCTGGTTCCAGACCTCTGAATTGCAGCTTACATCTGAAATGTACTCAGCAAGTCAAATAGAATAATTATACAGTATTATATAAAATAAAATAACTATTATTATTATTATAATTATTATTATTATTATTATACAGGTTTACATGAATCATGTAAATTAAATAATCAAAGATTCACCTTAATCTGGTGTCATGCAATAACACCATGTGTGTGCAAATGTACCTACTGTTGTAGCTAGTTTTAGTGGCTGTATGTGGGAAATACTGATATAAATGGTTGTAATAAACAGGTCTGGTTGGTGTTGTGTTAAACTCAGATTTCAGTACTATAATGGCCAATCAAATTTTCCCTAATTTCAGAGTAAAACAAGTTTCACATCTTCTTTACAAACTCTTACCCAACTGTGGGTTGTCCCACAGGATCAGGTGATGCACACTATCATTAGGCGAATGTTGCCTTAAAATAGATTCCAGTTTAAGGTTTGATATGTCAATGTTATACCACTAACAGGCACTTTGATGTATGTTGAGATGTTCTTTTGCTGCTTGTCGGCTAAACACCTTTCAACCTGTGTGTCTGTCTCTGTCTCCATCCAGCCTCAGGGAATCGGTGAGCCCAGTGTTTACCATGCTGTGGTGGTCATCTTCCTGGAGTTTTTTGCATGGGGTCTCCTCACCACCCCGATGCTCACGGTAGGCCCGGCTACACCCACTCTTAACGTCGACACACTGTTATGTAAACTGACATAACGGTTTGTAGTATATTCATACGCCTACACCTCTCTTCTCTGAAAACCTTGCCAAAGAGTGGCATTTCCCATTGACTGGAATCACACAAGGCCCATCAGTGTCTATGAATAATTGAATCCCTAATCAAATGAGCGAGGCCCAGGGTGACGCAGTTTTGTTTTTTGTTCGTGTGTGTTGGCAGATGTTTTGGGCAGGCGCTAATGGACTGAGAAATATGAAAAGGGCATCAAACAGTTGTATTGTCTGAGCACCAGTTCTTTGTTGAAAGGCTTATCAGGGGGTCACTGGTTTGTGTTGTCAGGCCACAGCACAGATGCCAGGCAAACCACGCCACACATTCACCTCAGTGCACTGCAGAGTGCTGTGGTTCAAGTATTTTGCTACAGGCAACCCAAACAGCATTATTTAGTGGCTTTTCATTCCAAAATGTGACCTGTTTTTTTTTTTTTTTTTTTTTTTTTAAATTGCCACCAGGAAATCATCAGTCAATATTTAAAAAAGACAGATGATTGTTCCCTCAAAACAAGATCTATTTCTTATGAGAAGTGTGAAGATGACTCACATCGATGATATGCTTCATTTCGTACCGACGGGGATTGTATACTAATAATTTTCCCTTTTTTGACATTCGCTTTTCATTTTTTAGTCAAACTCTGCATTTGTTCAATTCCTGGCCAGTTTCTTTTATATGCGCATATTTCTCCTTCAACATAAATTACTGTGTAGAAACTGGTATCTCAAACAAATGATAAGCAAACATCTGTGAGCCACATGATGTGAACCAGACAGGCTTATGCAATGCATACTTTCCAGCAGTCTCTTGTTTGAAGAGGTGGTTGTGTGTATAACTGTTAAGCATTAATTACTGGGGGTTTGTTGCCCTCGAGATCCCTGGGCGGAGGCAGGATTTGCATTTTGGACTAATCAGAAGGCGCCTGAAAATGAGAGGGACTGCTTCACTGCTCCCAATGAGCGCACTGCTTCATTAGTATCCAGCAGCAACAGTCTTCACTGAGCATTCACAGTCTGTGTGTGTTGGGTAACTGACTCCCAGAGGAACAGAGGGGATTCTTAGCCATGCCATGAGCTTTCCCTCTGTACCCCTCAACAATAACCAGATCCTGTTGTTCAGTCTCAGTCAAGCCCCACATGTCCTAAATTAAACTAAGGCTTCATGTCCCCACACCGGTGTCAGTGACACTTACGCACAATATTTGCTGCACACTGACGTTATGGACTTTGAACCAAACATCCCATGGATTTTAACCATCTAAACACCCTCCTTCCTCTTTGCATTCCCATGACGTCTGTATATATATATGCTGAAATACTTTACTACAGTTGTTTATATTGTGTCAGCTGTAAACTAAACACTGTCACTAATAGAAAACCTCTCTATATTTTTGTTTAATATGTTTGTAATAATAACATTCCCCTTGTTAGTCCTTTATTTTTTTTACGTAAATCTGTATCCAAATGCCAATTTCCAAATTAAGAAATATAAAAAAAAATGTTACAGCAAGACAGTTTTTCATCACGTTGTAACATGACATTATAACACGACAGATTCGAGAAACATATGTGGTGAGAGGTCTGATTATTACCCAGGTCTTGTAGCCAGGACCTAATATGAGGGTTGAGTGAGGCAGTAAAGTTGTCTAGTCTCTGTGGCTACACTCTGTTTCACAATCATATTTACTAAAACAATAAATATTCACCCTCAACAAAACAGAGTGAAACAAACAGTGAGTAAAAGTACTCAGTCATCCAGTCTGACGATAACCATGAATGACGTCTGTAACCATGACAACAGACCTGGTACAGACCAAATCTGGCCACTTCATCAGCATTGAAAAGTATTTGAGCACACTTGACCTGCCAGTTGTTAACAAAACAACACCAACTTTACAGCCACTTTAACATATGCCAGTGTTAAATGTGTACATGCTTTTAATGTGGACAGTTTTTGCCCCCGAACAAAAAAACCAGTTGGGGCACAGCCTCTGTGGAAATACACTGACTGGGCTGAAAATATGTATTAAATTCAAACTCAGATTGGCTAGAGGCCACTGAAGAAAATGTAGGTAGGCCATGGCCTGTCACATTTATGACCAGAGAGGATGTGTGAAATAAACTGGCTTTAGCACTCGCATGAGGAATGCCAACCATATTTATCTGCCGAGCGATTGTAGCATGAAACTCAGTTTAATGCGTGGGGTGGTCAAAGCCGTGAAAATATTTGTATGTAATATGTACAATATTCATATTTCTTCATAATGGTGAAAATTTGCAGTGTCTTGTTTTCTGCCATAGACCTCAATGATTAAATGTATGGTTTATTTTCTTAATTTTAACTGTCTGTCGTTTGTTGAAATAGTGGATTTTTGTTCAGTACAATCTCACTAGTGTATTTCACTGTGTGAAACATGATGCAAACTCTGTAGATGAGTGGTTTAATCTGGTGTTATCTGTGTTTGCTCTCCAGGTATTACACCAAACATTCCCCCAACACACATTCCTGATGAATGGGCTTATTCATGGTGTCAAGGTAAGAGACAACAGTACACACAAACGGGAAAACTAACTTCAATATTCTGTGTCATGACAGTGTAATGGTAACATATACAGGACAGGTCACACTTATATGTTAAGTTATCTTTAATCCTTTTATCTAAAGCATTGTAGCAAGCAATAGTATCTTTCTGTACTGTTTAAAATGTAGTGACTTAAACTGCTCGGTGTGGCCAACATTTTTGTGCACTGTAGAGTTGATTAGAAATTGTTCACAAGAAATAAATGAGCAATAACATTTTTGCTTTCTTTATACTTTTGTAATTCTGGGACGTTTTTGTGGATTAATCAAATATTAACTGTATTTAGGTGCACAGTAAGGCACAGCAGCTGTTTTTAAGGACTACATCTGCTGTCAATTAACATCCTCCTTCAGCTCTGCAAGTTTGTCTTTCTTCTATTTGTCCATGGAAGATTTGCTGAGCATGTGTGTTTTTGTTCAGATACGCCCTGCTTGACACCCACAAGCTTTCCAGTAACCACAGCAGTTTCCCCAGCTGGCCACAGAATAGCTCAGCTGAAGCACCTTTCAAGGGTCAAGTGCACCTGAGCTGTAGTTATTCAGGGAGGAGAGTGTCTAAAGATAGGTGGAGAGGACACTCTGTAATTATTTTCGTTTTGTTTTGTTTTTTTGTTTTTTTTTCTTCTTTTCTTTTTGGTGATTGCAACTGTTGTGATGTCAACACAGCAAACATCTTATTCTGTGATTAAGAAATGTCTCTGAAACTAACAGGAAGTTAAACTGGTTTGAGAGTGATTTTGCTTTAGACCAGACCTCAAACCAGCAGGCCTCGGGTGCTTTGTTATTGTCTTCATTCCTCAGGTTCCATGTCTTTCCAGTGTGACAGATACAATAGCTTGATCATACCAGATTTCATAAGCCATATACAGGACCTTCATTTGTACAAACAATAGGTAAAGGTATTGGTTCCCTTTTTGTTACTGTGGCTTTATGAGGACAAACCCAGCAGCCACAGCTAGAATTGGTGAGCTTTAAAGATGTGTGACTGGGGTTCATTTTCCACATGACTGTTAGCTATCTGCTATCTGTTAGCAGACTGTTAGGGAGTAGTACCATGCATAGACTGCAGTTACACTCTGCACATGGGCCTCTACCTACCTGTAAGTTTCAAAACTGGCTGTGTGGACCAGGGATATTCCTAACGACTAAATGAAATAAAGATTTAGAATAGCTGACCAGTCTAAAAGTAAGAAAACACCCAGGAAACAGTTAAAATTGCTGTAACTGTAATGTGTGCTCTTACTGTGCAACATCACAGCATCTGTGGGTAAACAATGTAATCAACCAATCAATCTATCAGACTTTATTTGTATAGCACTTTTTATGCAAATACAATGTAACACAAAGTGCTTCACCCAATAAAACCAAACAGAGCTGCTTTTACTATGCCATGCTATGCTTTCCTTCTTTCCACCTTGCTTGTTAACAACATCTCAGCATTGGTGTGGGTAGAGTAGTATTTCCGCCAACTAGCAAGGGCAACCACGTTTTAATCATTTGGTCGACTAAGCACGCATATCTCGAGTGTTGACTGTGTGTGTGTGTGTGTGTGTGTGTGTGTGTGTGTGTGTGTGTGTGTGTGTGTGTGTGTGTGTGAGAGAGAGAGAGAGAGAGAGAATAACATTTCCTGTTGATCTTTGAGTGATAACTTCACTGATGTTATCCATTAATAGCTCTCTGTTCAACTAATACTTTCCTCTCAAAGATTTTTCTGATTGTTATCCCATGTCTCTCTCCATACGTCCCTTCCAGGGCCTATTATCATTTCTGAGTGCCCCACTGATTGGAGCTTTGTCAGATGTATGGGGACGCAAGTCTTTCCTGCTGCTAACGGTCTTCTTCACGTGTGCACCCATTCCACTGATGAAGATCAGCCCATGGTGAGTGCAAACACAAAGTTAAACTTCTCAGAGTTTTTTTGATTGTTTTGGGGGATTTTCGTACATTATGTGGTGCGTAATGCATAAATGCAAATACATAAAGGAGTATTTAAACATTTGACAGTAAAAAGAAAAACAAGAAGGATGCCACAGAATGCCTTTGTGTATTATCAACAACAGCTCATGAGCTTAGCTTGTTGAAATAGTCTATGAAAGGTTACAAAATCAATTCAAATTGGTTTATATTCCCTCTTGGTTAAAATTACAATATATTACAATATTGTGTTGGTGGGTTCCTCTGCTTCCCATTTAATAGAATCACTCTACATGCGAACAGTGTTACAAAAGAAATCAAATTATATTGGTTATTTGACAACTCGATATTAGAAACTTTAACCTCAAAGTCAGCTATAGTTTGAAATATTTGTTGCTTGAACCAAAGTACAATTTAAAGAGGGTCAGCTTTACTGTATCTGTGCTGAGAAGCCAAACTCTCACTTCTTCTTTCAGGTGGTACTTTGCAGTCATCTCCATGTCCGGCGTCTTTGCTGTCACCTTCTCTGTGATCTTTGCTTATGTGGCGGACATCACGCAGGAGCATGAGAGGAGCACAGCATACGGTTTGGTAAGGAGATGATTGAAAACTGATCAGCCCTTTTGAATATGTGCATTAACGTTTTAAGCATTATCAGAATGGTTATCAAAGTCTTTGACCAAATAAAGAAAAGTCAGAGAAAATTAAAAAAAGCATTACAATGGAGGCCAAAACATCATTTACTGTTTTTGTCAGCTCACCTCTGCTTCGCCCTCCCTCCAGGTATCAGCTACCTTTGCAGCCAGCCTGGTTACCAGCCCGGCCATCGGAGCCTACCTGTCTGTTGCCTACGGTGACACCTTGGTGGTGATCCTGGCCACGGCCATCGCCCTGCTCGATATCTGCTTCATCCTTGTGGCTGTGCCAGAGTCGCTGCCAGAGAAGATGAGGCCAGCATCGTGGGGTGCACCGATCTCCTGGGAACAGGCAGACCCCTTCGCTGTGAGTAAAAACACAGTCATCTTTATTGGTCATATGTCATCAGTTATGACCCAGTACTATTCACAGGTTGTGTCCAACCAAACAGCAACTGACTACAATGTTGTTTTTTTTTAGCTTTCAGTGTTTTGGTTTTAATTTAAACATGATTAAGGTTAAGCTATTGAGAGGAAGAGTTTCCTTCACAGTAAATTGAACTGTACAATTTAGCCTCATACTGGGAACACACTTAATGGTGCTGCAAATTATGTGCAAGCGCAGGTTGCTCACATACAAATGTCTGGCAGTCTCAGGAAAAAAATGAATGAACGAACACATTCATTCATCGTTATTAATTCCTGCATGGCAACACAATGATACATAACTAGATTCCCTGAGTGATGCTGTAGGTTCAGGGATGACTTGGTTTTTTATAAAGAAACTAGTTTATGTTCGTGTCTGTTGAAGTAGCATTTGTGCATGTCCGTCTGTGTGTAGATCTGATCTCCCGATTTCCTTGAAAAGGAAACTTAGATTTACATGAAAGTGTTAAACTTTACAGACAGAATTTTAAAAAACTGTGAGCCTATCCTTTAATCTAGAGTTCATATCAGTACAACCCTTGCAATTCAAAGATAGATATATTGATATAAATATAGAGTATATGCAGATTAAAGTTTTAATTAACTTTCTCATCAGCTTTACGTTTAAAACATTCATTATGATTTTACCTTTGGAAACATGGTTAAGTCGGCACTTCAGCAATGCCACTGATATTGTTTATGTTTTGAATTCTTGCTGTTCTCTCGTCCAGTCTCTGCGTAAAGTGGGTCAGGACTCCACGGTGCTCCTCATCTGTATCACAGTGTTTCTCTCCTACCTCCCCGAGGCCGGCCAGTACTCCAGCTTCTTCCTCTATCTCAGACAGGTAACACTCTGCTCGCCCTGCCAGAAAAGTCACAAAAATGATTGGATTGCACACACAAACATTGTTTAGACACACCATGTACACTTGCAAAATGGGTGTAGTCCAAACCATGAGTCCTCATGTAATGTAGTAACACCTACTGAGTACTCATGAATCAGAGGGTCAATGTGTTACCAGGCCAGTGTGATCCCATCGCTACATGGTCGTTAGTGACCAGTTGTGGTTTCTCAAGGACATTATAATTTTGGATTAATATGTGACTGTTGTATGTGACAACATTAACATCATACTTTTGCCATTTGTGTTGCAAATAAAAGGCAGAAATTGCGACTGGAAAGCTCAGGGAATAATCTCAGTACAGCTGGGGGAAATTTGCAGAGCAGACACTTTCACCTACATTGCTTTAAGATTGGATCAGCAGGTTTGCCGAGCAGCCTGTTTCAGTGCGTTATTAAGTAAAGCAAATTCATTAAGTGTCTCAGCAAAATGCAACCACTGGAAAGCCAGTGCATTTGAAAACACAAGTAGCCAGAAACAGACAGCTTCAGATTCCTGTTAATTTATTTATAGACTGGTAGCATCTGGAAGCAGCTGGACTGACGAGGTGTGATCTCCCCCTTTTTCCATACTGCATGAACTGAGGATTGTACCAGCCACAACAGGTCCTGGAGACACCCACTGTAGCAGGAACTACCACAGAGGGAGTTTTTAGTACTTTGGCGGGTTGTTTATATGACTGGACAGATTTTGTCACCATGATAGCGCCGCAACCATGCAAGATACAGTCGCAAAACTTAACGGGCCTGTAGTTGAGATCGAAATGAAGGCTGAGTTCGAAGATGGGTGTGGTTCAACCCCTGAGTACTGAGTAGTCAGGGGTCAGAATGTCAGTATGTTGACAGGTGTGGTCTCTGGTGTGAGGGTTAGTTAACTTCTCTAGATATCTTTGTGTAAACAATGTCAGATAAACCAGTCTGACACACACACACACACACGCATGCACACACACACACAGATCTTATACCTTTCTTCACACATAGGGGCTAACATTACTCACCACACCCTCATGTCCTCTTCCACTCAAAATTGTCGCTTTATCATACATCTCTCCCTATTCATTGTCGTAATTATACACGCCTCTCGCCAGCTGCCCTATTATTGCTGCCTGTAAATAATGGGCAGCATATTTTACCTAAATACACAAGAGAAAACAAGGAGAGGAAAAAGAGAAGCACCTTTTGTTGTTCCAAGATGCAGTAGTAAACAGCATGTGTTTACAAAAGGCCACAAACAAACACCCTTCTTCCATTGTGTCTCTTAAGAGAGTGAAAAATGGTAACTGCTTCTGGTTGTGCTTGTCTTTAGGTGAACAGTCATGTCCTAACCTGTGCTATTTTAACTGTCTCGCCCTCAGGTCATAGGCTTCTCATCAGAGACAGTGGCTGCCTTTATCGCTGTAGTGGGGATCCTGTCAATACTAGCACAGGTACTGAAAAAAATATTCCTGTTCTAGACTTTGTAATCCTGAGCATTTTTATTCTGCTTAATATTTTTTATTGAGCATTTCTTTTATTGATTTACCTGCCGTTTATCTGACAATTGATATTGTCCTATTGTCCTATTGTCCTGTCAAGTCAAATTTTCTATCAATTATTGACAAATTATTTCAGCTATACATCAAAGTCAAGACTCAAGAGTGATATAAATTATTAAAAATGAATTGTTGCATTACTTGATGCCTCCCTTAGGGCTGTCTTGTGTAACCTGTGGGCTTGTGTTTCCTCAGACGGTGGTGTTGGGGATCCTGATGCGTTCAATAGGAAATAAGAACACAATCCTGCTTGGCCTCGGCTTCCAGATCCTTCAGCTGGCGTGGTATGGCTTTGGCTCTCAGCCCTGGTCAGTAACACACACACACACACACACACACACACACAAAAACACACCTTTCCATTACATTTATTCAACCTGACTGGAACCCCATTGGTGGAAGATTTTGTGACATAATGGCAGTTTTGAATTATAACACTTTGAAAATGTATGTGATTGATTCATTAAGAAATAAGCTTTTTGATTCCTGAAAGTGGTGTTTGGATATTTGGTTACTTATGTATCAGTGGAGCTCATACTAAATAGTTTCGGCTAGCTTCACAAAATCAGTAGAGATAGCGTGAAACGTAATTACTAGTAAATATAATTCCAAGAAAGGCAGGAAGTCCTTCTAATGTGTTAAAGCATTTCCTGCAGCAAGGTGCAAAACCACAGTCCTAGTCATGATATCTTAAAATCAGTTAGAGGTGGTTCATTCCACTTTAGTCAAACACCACACATTTAACTTTTATGACTAATGTTTATGGCAGCCACATCTAATGTGTTCTTTTGCTTTTAATGTATTTTAGTTTCATTTCTTTACTCAAATAACTTGTGAAGAACATAAAGCAGGATCCAGTAAGATCAAATCTACAAGAGGAATCATAATTCGAATCAATGCAATCCACACAGTGCTTAACCCTATCTGGTTCAGGCACCCCACCCCCTTTTGTGTTTTGCAATTGGATTTCATTTAAATGTATTGAAACACAGTAATTCGTTGCTGTTTTGCACTAGAATTCCTTATTATTGTCAACTGTTGTTGTTGTAATCCCCTGACAAACCACTAGAGGGGAGCATGGCCATAGCCAGAGTCATGGAACAGTGGCAGAAGGGTAGTGACACTGTAATCTGATAACAAAGACTCTTTAAATGCATCAATGTAATGTTGTAACTTGGAAGACTTTGTTTGACTCATAAAGGCTGAAATGATTTCTTGTGTCTAGTAACTATTTTGCACAGGGATTTAACTCTGTGTGATCTTGCAATGCCTTTCAGAGAATGATTATGAAATGAAAAGGCAGTAATACACCTAATGTTCTGTGTTTTCATTTGTCTGAAACCTAAAGTATGAATAAAGGTGCTTTTATAAGCACCCACCACCCACTGACACAGGTCACATTATCGTTTCTGCTAACATGAGATAATAACAGCTTCATCAGTCTCTGTTTTTGTTTTGGTCTGGAAGGCAAAGGCAGAGCAGCCATAATATCTATTGATTCTGAAAGGAAACATTCACAACAACAAAACATCTTCTTATTGCTCCTCTCTCCTTTGGTCAATACCCTGGAAATTAGGTTAAATAAAGGTCAAGTTGGCGGTATCAGATATTAGGCTGAGAATCCTTTCCATGTTCACAAAAGGGGGTACAAAAAAACATTTTCCTTTACGAAATGCAATAGGAAGTACATCTTGATCTAATATTAGCTTTGACATTTGACATTTTGGACTTTGGAGGTTCAGTCACTGCTTAATATTTATTCAAATAGTTTATTTTTAATCTTGAGGCTTTAACCATAATAGGCTAAACAACCTTTAACTCACCTTCAAGAACATGTATAAATCAAATTTTTGAAAGGTTAAATAGAGATTTGTTTGTATCCTTAACAAATGTGTGTTGTTGGTTGTAGGATGATGTGGGCAGCTGGAGCCGTTGCAGCCATGTCCAGCATCACTTTCCCTGCCATCAGCGCAATTGTGTCCCGTAATGCAGACCCAGACCAACAAGGTGAGTTTCTCAACTGTTTGTGGGCATATGTTTGTCAGGCTGTATTATATGTTATATCAAATAGGGGTGGGCGATCTAATACAGATCACGTCATTAAAAGGTGCTGTATTTAGATATAGTTAAGTTCAGTCGCTGCTAACCAGCCCATTGTTAACAGCTTTGTTTATTCTACTTCAAGTGGATATCAGGTTTACTCTGAAATATGCCTTCATCATTTCAAAGATTTGGAACATGTATCTGTTTAAATGTTATTTGCATCTACATACCTGTATGTCAGAAAGTGGACGTCTTGCTGACACATAACTTACACATTCAGGTTATGTTGTGTGCTTTGCCCTGTTTATTTGTCTGACAAATAAAAGTAATTCTCATTCAAATTGAATGATAAAATGTGGCACGTATTGGAGGTTTTTCCTGACAGTGTATATGGTTGTATCTGTCTGTCTGGTTGCAGGTGTTGTCCAGGGGATGATTACAGGGATTCGGGGCCTCTGTAACGGTTTGGGCCCTGCTCTTTACGGTTTCGTCTTCTACTTGTTCCACGTGGAGCTGACCGACACGGATGGCTCTGAGAAAGGTGTCAAACCCAACATGGCCAACCCCACTGATGAGGTGAATGTTCATGAAAAATGGCATTTGAGTCATTTTGCATCATACAAAGAAAATGTTGCACATATGGTAGCTATACTTTAACTAAATATTTCTTGCCCCCTCTTTAGAGTGCCATCATCCCAGGTCCTCCATTCCTGTTTGGTGCATGCTCAGTGCTGCTGTCTCTGCTGGTCGCCCTGTTTATCCCAGAGCACACGGGCCCTGGCATGAGGCCAGGCGCCTACAAGAAGCACAGCAACGGGGCGCAGAGTCACTCTCACAGCCCACAGGGCAGCGGGGCAGAGGGCAAGGAGCCTCTGTTGGAGGACAGCAGTGTATAACCTCAGCTAAGGGGGGGCAGACACCCTCACTCCACCCCAAAACCCCTGCACACATGGACAGATACACACATTTTACAACATGGCCACACTTGTACCTCAGGCATCAGACTCAAGTGCCGCGAAGAGGTCTTTGTGTCTGTGTGTTTGTGTCCACAGCACAAAAGTGGGCAGTCGTTCGTTAGCAGCCCTTTTTCTTTTTTAAAAGCAGGCTATTGTGAGGACTCTCTAAAGACCCTGTATGAAGAGAGTGTGAGTATTTTTCGGGCTGCAGTGGAAAGGTGTGTGTGACTTGGCTGAGCTGGACTCTAATCCTTGGTTTCTATAAAGCAGTAACAGAGTGGAGCATACAGCAGTTCGCCCCCCCTCCCAGAACCGAAGTGATTTGGTTTTGAGTGTGAGTGGGGTATATCTCAAATGTTACTAAATCCCTGTGTGATTATTCATATTCCTCTGTAGCCAGTGAAGTGGCAACTTTGTCTGTTTGTCCAACGAAAGTGTAACAAACAGTTAGTTGAGCACTTGTCTAATGGTCTTTCACACATTAACTTCTGTTCTGATGCGACTACAGCTCTGTTAAAGCATCCAAGAAGGGAACACAGTTTTTCCTCTGTGTGCACAGCAGGGAAGCACAGCAACTATAAACCTGTGAGAGGAGACTCTGCAGACCAGTGTTGGAGAGGCGCTGCTTAATCTCAAGTCAGGATGGGTCAACCAGTTCACATATGAAAAGCTTCGTAAGACCACACTTTGTTTAAATGTCACACTTCTTACAGAGAGAAGTGTGCAACTGAGACCACTTTATTAGCTGAAACTGTTTTTCAATGTTTACTTGCCATTCTCTAGATTAGTAGTACAGTTTGGGTTGTATATTTTTCTCTGTTCAAACTGAAGGCTAGTTGTGCTTCAAGTTTTTATTCAAGAAACAAATGTTGCCTTGAAGTGACTTAAGATAAATATATATATATAGACATTACGTAACCTGTATGAAGACCGAGGTCTGAGAAGGCTTTGTAATCTTATGCTATCGCTCCCATCGGAGCCGTTACACACTTTCTATTCCTTTGTTTTCACGTCCTTCCTGTCACTTAGTTTGCTGACATTTATCATCAACAGGGTTAAGGCTTACAGAACCATGGTTTTATTTTAAAAGCCTCTGGACCATTAGGAGCTAGTGCGTTGCTATCAGCATGTCAGTGTTGGCACTGACTGTTAATAAGGAGACTGAATTAATATCATTAGGTTAAACAAAATATCAGTGATGCTGCTGAAGTGGAAAATTCAAAGGTTAAGTATGATGTAATGTGGTGGATAACGATTTAGACAGGGGAACCTATAAAAACGTTTTCATGTAATCCCTGACATTTAAGATGCCATACAAACAGTCATTACAAGGCACAGCACATCTCTCAAACAATAACTAACGACAGATGGTCAAAATCTTAGATGTGAAGCACATCATGGAACTGGCTTGTAACTCACTAACTCATCGCATTTAACAGGTTGCATTTCTTCCACAAGGGGGAGGGGCTCGTTGTCAGACCAGCTCTATACTTGCCAACCTGCATCACCTATAGGACAAAAAGTGGCAGCGGTAGTAGTCCAGACCAGTAGAAGATGATGTGCTGGTCGCCTCCCACAGGCAAGGAGAGGAAAAGCTGTTTCAATTTTAACAGATGTTACAGCTGCAAATTTTTTTTTTTAAATATAACATCATTAAGTTTCACTCATGTTTATTCATCCACACAAAGATGAAAATAACAGCGCTCCCATCCTAATCGACCACTGATGATTACCAAAACGTAGTAAATAAGAAGATACTCATAAAATAAAACCACACCAAAAAAACAACACAAAATAATAGAAATAAATGTTTAAAACAAGTAAAACAACTATTTTAACAACAGAATAAAAACAAACTAGGTTTAAATTAAAAAAAAAAAAAAATTCATCCTCCAGTGGATACTATATCTTCAAATAAAAATGTCCACAGCAAGAGATCAGAGTTCACATGATGACACTTGGAGCACTGTGAACTCAGTTGTAGTCATCAGTAAATATGATGCGGACAACAAAATAAAACAAAATTCTAACAAAACGTGAAAAAAATTGTAACTTTGGGTGTCTGATAGTTAGTTTTGATTATGTGTTATTTTTCTTGTCAGTAGATGGTGGTCGTCAGCTCGTCTGTACCTGCAGGTGTATGCTGCTGCTGTTACTTTTCTTGCCAGCAGGTGTCACAGGTTGAACATGAACTGCAGCTCTTTAACCGGATGGTCTTGGCTGTGCTTGGTTTTTTTTTTTGTTTGTTTTTTTTTTTGTTGTTTTTTTTTTTGGTGCTTCGCATCAGTGACACTGTGTTCCCTTTGTTCAAATACTGTGTTAACAGCTGGTGAATTATTCCTGTCACAGTTTTGAACAGTTAATTTATAAATGCCTCAAGTGCATTTAAATAACCAAATTACAACCTGATATGGATTAGTAGCTAACGGTGGGTTTCACGCTGTTTAACATCTCTCTGAAGTGAAATGTGCGTCATATATTTTGTGCCAAATTTTTTTTGGTTTGCTTTTTCATACTGTGTGTGTACGTGTGCTTGAGTGATTTGGATTTCTTTTTTCTTTCTTTCTTTTTTCTTTTTTCTTTTTTTCTTTTTTTGTCATTGTTTTGTTTTCTCTTGTCTTAATTAATTTTTTGACTGAAGATTTAAGTTTTAATGCTATTTTTTTATACTTTTAAAACTTCATCCAGTCATTCTTAGGAATCTTTTCCAACATTGTGGCTAGATAGTAAATTATCGAATGTCCATCTTTGTTGTTTTCAGTCTCGGTCTTCATTTAATAACAAGCATTTCACCGTGGTTAGTTACATTTGATAAGCTCAAAGTCACTGAATGTTCAAAGCCAAGCTGTACATGTTGACCACACTATACCCTCAACATTTTGACTCACCTGTCATATTGTTTTTATTATTTCAGGGGGGTTGTTACTTAACAGGAGGCTGTAACTGTTGATTTAATCTATGAATATCGCTCTTTTACTTTTATTTTTTCTTTATTTATCGTTTATTGGACCAACACAATAAATTCAGATCCTTCATAAATTGGTAAGATTCTGCACCAGCCCCATGTGCACTCGTACAGCTTACACGCAGATGACTGTAATTGTACAAAAATCACCTGTACGTACGGTAAATGTATATATTTATTGCTCAAGGAGATGGCCACCTCTTGGTCTATTTGGTTGTATGGTGCAATTATTATTATATATTTCTCAAGACTGACCTGCTAGCCACTCCTGTTTTTAGTATGTGGTTTGTGGCCTGAACCCCCTTCTCTGTGTGCCTAAATTTAGCCAAGAAACGAGTATGGCAACATAAGTAAATGGTGGTTATTATGTAAATATGGGAAACTAATGACAAACTATTTATTAAAGGTTTATTGTACAATGAAATGTTTGAGTTTGCCTCTGTGGGTTTTGGGATGTGCACCATATGTTTGCGCCAAAGCTGTCTGAGTGATCCGGGTGTGTCTCAGCAGTGTTGTTTAAAACGAGGATCTTGAAACTAATGGCCGCTAAATCCCATTAGATCCCATTATAAACAATATTCTTTTTAGTTTTTACTTATTGTTCACTATACCAGACTTACATTTTAATGCTCTAACTTTGTTGGTTGATTGTTTAGTAATCCTGCCATTCAGAGTTGTGTTCCGGCTCTAATGCTTTCCTCCACCTACACACTGTATGCAATATACTCAGCTGTTATTAATGCCCAGACCTAAGCTCATTTACTTTCTGAGCCTTTCTTTATTAAAACCATATGGAGGCAGTAGTAAAATTTGTCCAGGGTATCTGCATGTCTTGAAAAGTGTTGCTTAAAAAGCATTGATTTTAGTTTCTGTCCTCCCTGATTAAAATATTACATTCTCCTCATGGAAGGAGTGTCCCTCCTTCTTCAGGCCCTCCTGTATTGAACCACGCGTTTGTTTAATTTAACACGTTTCGATCCTTTTGGCGCTGGTATTAGTAGTGTCAATACTTTGAGGATTGATCTACCCACCACTGTCATGTACCACATTACAATGTTGACCACAAGTGTGGTTTATAAACCTTTACCAGCTGATTTTAAACTTACCTGTTGATTGACAAGGTTCCACAACTGTGCGTGTGTGCGTGCGTGCGTGTGTGAGAGACATATTTTAGATTTTAATACCTTCGTCAAGGATTTCATTCACTCAGCTATGTGTTGTATTTGCTGTTGGTTTCATACAGAAATGAACTTAAATGCAAATGATGGTGAATTGTGGAATCTGTTTCTACCTCGATATTGTTGATACTTCTATATTTTTATGTCATTTGCAGGAGGAGAGCTTTGCAAGATGCCGTCATTACATTTTTTTTTTTTTTTTGCATGTGCTGACATGCTCCTAGATGCAATTGAGGGTGTTCTCACATCGCTTTCACTCTTGCATTTGAGAGATTAGTTTACCCAGACATACAGTGAGGACTCACCAGCCCATCTCTCTATAATGGGACATTTCCTTTTACATTTAGAGCAGTCTGCTTCACTGGAGTTTCCTTCTCTCTGCTGGAATATGATGATGTACGCAAAAGTGTCCAAGTGGAGCAGCAGGTGTTATGTGGTCTTAACCTGGGATAGAAGAGATAATAATAAGGCTCTTAGCCATAATCCATGCCCATTGTTTCCTGACGAGCCCTCTAACAGCTCTGGGCACTGCGGTGGATTTAGTTACGATGGATTCATCAACACAATGGTGCCTCTTATTGCGCATCCATAATAACCAGCTACTGTACATACTGTGGCATGTGGGCTTCAGTAAAGCAGTTGACAGTGTAAGAGACACAACCACCTCGCTACTGTTTTATATCACACTGTGATGTTTCTTTCCTTCGCACATGAAGACTTGTAGACACACGCTTGACACCTAACTTTTTCCCTTGTAAAACATTCATGGTGCTAAAAAAAGGAGCGGGGAATGCTTTAACTTGCGGCCTCCAGTGATTGTAGCTACACAACACATCAACAAACGGCAGGTTCCAGCTTTCCGGGAATTAGAGGCACACGGCCTTGTCAGGATTAACAGCTCTCTGGCAGCAAAAGCATTGGGCATGTTTTAACAAGAGCAACTTTACTGAGCGCTTTAGAGAAGGTAGCTGTTCAGATCACTTCCAAGGCATGATTGCGAGCGCAGGAGCCCCTCAGTGTTTCCCCGTCGTTTTATTTGCGCTCGTGTTGGAGATGAAAAGGGGCCATGTGACTATTTGGGGGAGCTGCTGGAATGTATTGTGATGCAGAGTCGCTGTCATTGCACATTTACTTTCCAGGCTTCAGTTAGGTGCATGAGAGTGGAAGAGTGCTTACATGTTTGAAAACTGGCCTCCTGGACTTGGCTGGAGGCCAGACGCAGTCCACAGCGCCGTTACTATAAATGTGAGTGTCCATTAACCTCAGAGAAGGAGTGCATCCATCAAGCCCTGCCTCAAAACTTAAAGCATTGTCTTTGCAAACACTGGAAATGACAGCAGGAAGAACTCTTTCTTTAGAGCAGTACACCTCAAGCCCCACAGACGCACTGGGAAGGGGAAGTGGGCCCAGTGGTGGATGTCCCACTCAGCCCTGACACACGGCAGCATCTTTTCCTGCGATGGAGAAGTGTAGCACGCTGGCGTCTAGGAAGAGCCCTGGGATGAATCATGCGTGAACCTCATTGTTCTTCCAGTCAAGCAGGTCTGTGTGAACCTTAGTTTGTCACTAACCTCTGCCACAATGCCTGCTTTCCCATGTTCTATATGCAGACCACCAATGTTTCCTCATATGACTTCCTGGCACACGTGGTTGATGATTAACTCAGGGATAGGTGTGGGCCTCCGGGCTGTTTCACACACACCAGGACTCATGCATACAAAACTGTGACTTTTTCCTCCAAGGCCGCACTTAGAAAAATATGATCAATTTTAAACTCTGCGTACTTACCTCTCGCATATCTCCCACAGCTCTTGTAGATACTGTAGACTGACAAACAATAACCCCAGTATGTCACAGTAAGTTCATAATGAGTGAGTCAGCCTTATCATTCTGAACCCTGACCCTGTTGTTTTTGCTGTCGCATTCGAACAGGGTGTTACCCACATCCCTATATGTTGGAATAAGCTAAAGGTTACATGGCAGTTTGTGGCTGTTATTAATACAGCTGCAGGCAGCAGGCGTTTAAAGAGAGTGGCAGAAAAGTGCAGCTTCAGGCTTTTATGTAAGAGCACTTTAATCCCTCCCTGCAGTGAGGTGATCATTTCCAACAGATTTATGTCATTACAGAGAGAGACACAATATAAACTAACACACCTGTGCTGTGAGTGACAGCTAAAGCACCACATCGGTGGGTTTTGCATCTACTTTACGTTTTACTTTATATTCCTACCATTTTCCACAGCTTTTAAATGATTATGTGCCTCATCATGTGGTTTTGCTATTTTTATCTTTGAGGAAATTTCTTCCACCCCTGTGTACAGTATATTAGATTTGTGGTCAACAAATGAAAACATGCAAAACCACTGTTATGGTCCTTAAAGTCTTTACAGGAAATTAGCAACCATCCCTGAATCAGATATCTGACAAACTCTTCATGTCTGCCCCCATCCTTCACGTGAACCACACTGACGGGCACTGACACACTGCGGCAATGCAATGAGACTACTCCGCTCTCAACACTTTGACCCGAGCCCTGACCCCAGCAGAGGTCAGGATTATGAGGTTGTCAGGATTAGAAGTCACAGCTCAGAAAACAACCTCTTTTTAGTCCCCAGCAACAGGCGACACTGTCAGCATTCAGATCATGTGTTTATGACTCATTTGTTTTTTTGTTCATCTGAGCC